CCCTCTCTCCCTCCCTCCCTCCCTCCTTCTCCCCCTCAGCGACGTGGAGTTCAGCATGACTCAGACCCTGGCCGCCCTTGTCTTTGTGGGCGCCTTTCTGGGATACCTTCTCGCGCACTTTATCTCCCTCTTCTTCCTCCCAGCCTGGCTCCTGGCCTTGGCCGGGGGGGGACTGGGGGGGTATACGGCCACGCTCAGGGACCGGGGCGGGGACATGGCCCGCTGCCTAGGCATGAAGCTCGTGGCGGTCTTGGGTCTGGTACGGGCGCTGGAACAGGAGCTGTTAGTATGGCGGAAGCTGGGGAAGGTCTTCCACATCTCCTACGGACACGCCGCCGCCTTGGACGCCCGCTGGAAAGTGCGCGAAAAAATGTGGCGGGTGGGGACCTGGGTGGGCGGGAGGTTGAACCAGGAGGCGGAGCGCGTCCGGGGGGGACATGGGGGGAGGGAGGGGGAGAGGGAGGGGGAGGAGGGCCTGCGCGGGGGTACGGCTTCGCACACCCGACGTACAGGGAGGAGGTAGGGGAGTACTGGGAAGGCGGGGGGGGGAGGGGGGGGGAGGGGGGAGAGACCTCCGCCAGAAAATCCCTCTTGGAGAAGGGAGTGACGGAGGGAGGGAGGGAGAGAAGAGTGAGGGAGGCAGCCGCCGAAACCATGGCGTAGTTCGGTGGGGTTTACGAAGACTCGGTCCGTCCCTGAAAGAAAGCAACCGCCCAGCGTTCCTCTTTCCCCTTGCTCCATTTCCCCCGGCCTTTTTCTTTCCGTCGCCGGCTCTCGAGCCCAACCTCCTACCCACCCTTCCTCCCACCCGCATGCTTCTTCAGGACCCCGGCGGCGCTTCTCCTGATCGCCTCCACCGCCCCCTCCAGCTCGGCCCGCGTGTGGACCGCCGACACCGCCAGCCGCAGCGAGGGCTCCGGCAAGAGCCCTCCTTTCGACACAGCCTCCACATCCAACAATGTGTATTTGCTCGTGACCACGGCGTACCCGGCGTCCACACATGCCCGCGCTATGGCTTGCAATACCCGCTCCTCCTCCTCCCGCGTCCATCCGTCAGAGACCGCCTTGGCCACGCCTACGTGCAGCACGGGGGAAATTTCTTGGCTCCTCACTTTCAGCCCCGGAATTTTCCCCAGCGCCCGAGCCAGCCAAACAGCATTTTCGCGCAATTTCGTCACCAACTCCGGCTCCTTTTCCAAGAGGGCCAAGGCCGCCATGGCCGCGGAGGAGGTGAAGGGCGGGGCAGAGGCGGAGTAGCAGTAGCCTGCCCCCGAGAGCCGCTGATGATCCACGACCTCGGAGGTGCCCACGCACATGCCCCCCACCGAGCCCAGGGCGTGCGAGATCGAGACGGACATGACCTCGACGTCGGCGAGGGGCACGCCGAAGTGCTCGGCCAGACCGCGGCCCGCCGTCCCGAAGCACCCGAAGGAGAAGGTCTGGTCTAGGTAGAGGCGGTACCGGTACTGGCGCTTGAGGGCAATGAGGGCGGGGAGGGGGCACAGGTCCCCGAAGTTTTTGTACAGGCCCTCCACGACGATGAACCGACGCTGTTCTCGCTCGTTCCGATCCAGTCGCCGGTCCTCCTCCGCCACCTCCCGCAAGACGCGCTCCAAGTCCTCCATGTCGTTGTGGCGGAAATACCGGACCTGGGCGCGCGAGAGGTTGATGGCCGTCTGGATGGGCTCATACACGCCCTCGTCCGCGATCAACAGGTCGCCCTTCTTGGCGAAGGCGGGAAGCGTGGAGGAAACCGAGGAGGCGGCATCCGAATAGGAAATGGCCTCCTCCGCGCCCAAGAAAGCCGCCATCGCTTGCTCGGCCATCACATGCACATCGATGGAGCCGTAAAAGCCTCTCGGTCCACAAGAGCCACACCCGTACTTGTTTAGGGCGGCGCGGGCCGCCTCCTTGACTTCGCCTCGACCGGCCAGACCCAAGAAGTCGAAGGACGCCATGTTTATCATTTTTTTCCCGTTCACGACCACCCGCGTCCCGTCTACCTCCTCTACGACCAAGGCCTGCGCGTCCTCCTCATCCCAGGCCGGGTCCGGGCCCGGGACCAAGGGCTCCGGCTGCCACTCCTCCACCAGCTGGTCGATTTCCTTCTCCGACAAGAAACTGTCCTCCTTGGACGGGTCCACGGTCTTCCTCAAGAAGATCAACCATATAATGAACAGAATCAAGGCTGTCTCGACCACCACGTGGCCAGGAGCATGCTCTACCAAGTTCAGCCACCACTTTTTGTAGCGTGCCGGAGCGCCTAAAAGCCATTCCTTTACACCATCCCTGGAAAGCTCACGCCGCACTTGCTGCCAGAGTTGCTCCAGTGCGATTGTCAGGTCTATAAAGGAGTCTCCTAACGATGGATCGGCTGCCATGATGGACGCTGGGTGCCGCGGAGGTGGTTCCCTCGTTAACAGGAAAATAAGCTGGGAAGTATAGGGTAACGAGGGCCACAGAGGGTATGAGAGTGAGGACAGAAAAGCACTGACTACACATGCGTTCACTTAAATACTCCATAGAAATGTATTATTTAACTGTACCAGGCAAGCTAAGCTTAATTGTATTCCCGAGACAGGCAAACCTGTGACAAGAAGTGCATATCGAACAACATGATGCTCTGATCAAGTCGTCAGATTTCTGTCTTTCCTGCTTGGACGCAGGCCTCTGTTTCCGTCTCCTCTCGATCCTCTTACAATGAATAAGGAAGGATATCGCCAACGATGCCATCTATGAACGGTTAGACATCCCTATGATATGCACAGACGTCCTTTTGGGTGCTGCAATAGGCCATAGCGTCTAGGCAGCGAAGCTACAAGTCGCCGGTCCGAGCTGTTATTATGGCCTATCGAAAAGATTGTGAAAAATTCTCAATCCTCCTTTTTCTACCGACACAGGTTGATTGCAGTCTATACATTATAAGTAGAAACGCAGGTTATCCCTGTATTCCTTCCCGCTTGCCATGAAATTGTGATGTCTCGTTGCTGCATAGAACAACCAGTTCAGTGGGATAACACCCGGCGTGTAGACCCCTTCATTTCAAGACTATCAGAAACAGAAACGTTTTAAGCTTAACTGCACTACAATAATGCTCCGCTAGGATATACACTTCTTCGATTTTGCCGTTGTTCGTTTTTCTTCTTATTACAAATTCCACGTAGAAAAGCATACAAGCACGGCCCATTGGACGTTTTTCATAGGTACTTCGAAGCTTCAACAAAGTCTATCGAGTTGTAAGCGACCAGCACCATCGAAATTTCATCTATTTTCTGACACAAAAAGAAATCAAGAGGAAGAACGTGCGCCACTAAATTAAAGCGAGCAACACTCGAGAAACATATAAATCTTGCCCTTACTTTTGAACCACTTGAGAAATGACACACATAGCCACAGTGTTTCAAATTGTTATGCAATTGGCCATGACGTTCAAACCTCATAGTGCTAAAGGCAATGTTTGAGAGAGAGGACGAAGGGGTATGTCGATGCTCATGAGATTGCGGTAATCTGATGTTTCCCAAAGGACATGGTATGACACCAAGCTTATGGCTTGCAAAGATATCGAGACAGAGTATAGTTTATTACAATGTATCAGGGCTTTCCGTGTTGATAAAAATATCATTCATTTTTATCCTTTTGAGGCCACTATTCATCTCGATGCTCGACTGAAGTCTTGGGGGATCCGAGCAAAGTTAAAGAGTTCCCCTTCTGATAAATCTCAGGCTATGTAGGATTCATAAGACGACGATGCTGGCGAGTTAAAACATGATAGAAGGCTTTTTTGCCGCAACTCAAGATGGAAAAATACCTCCAATAACCATTAAGATCTTCAATGTTTTCATTGGTGCGCGAAACCTGCACAATGGACTGAGCGACCTCGAGCCACTCCGCCGCTACGAGAAGGCTGCGGAGGTGCACACTCTGTTGAATGCACATCATCTATAACAGAAGCAGCATCATGGTACAGGTTCTCCTGCCCGCCATAGTGTGTACACAGATATAGGCCATATTCTCTCAGAATTTTTGTCGATCAACAGGCACTGTACATTTTAACTTTTTGAAAATTTAAGCCAAGTACGACGACCGTTACCGAGTTCAGTCAACGCAACGTTTTTTGCTCGAACAGGACCAAATAACGTTGGCTATCTTAATGTTATATCTTAGGACATTATAATGTCGATGAGTGCAATGATATTGTCAACTGTTGCTTCCAAAGCGCTGAAAAGAGCATTGCTTTCTAGTTAGGACCTGAGCGATCGATTCGCCAATAACCGCATCGTGGACTCATCTACTTTCTCACGTCTTCTCAAGATAAAACAGTACACAAATAAACAGGACAGTAATGAGGAACAAGAACAGTCTATGTGCCGTTTTGAAATTTTTGGGGTTGTACTGTTCGCTCTTTCTGCTCTGCCTTGTTGACGTACCCATTGGAGTTCTTGGGGATGACGTAGTGGCCAATGATATTCAATACACGCACGAAACTGAGAAAGCTGATTTCATTATTGATTCTGGATATGAAGCGCCATTAGATAAAAAAAGCGACATGCTTAACTTGTTGAACGAAAAGAACGGTAAGTGCAGATCATGATAGTTGCACGTGCGTGACAAAGCTATCTGTGAAGTGATTAGGTCATATGGTCTGAACAGAGCAAACGATATTTCTCAACTAGCTAAAAGTCTTCTACCACTGAATCTCTTCTCACTCTGATCGTGGGGTTGCATCAAGCCTGGCAATTCACCGTCGATTTCTCTTGCTTTCTTTTCATACTACGCAAGCTGCCCTGTCCGCGTTAGAAAGCTCCATCAACTCCCTGCAAGATGAGCTGAAAGACAAAGTGGAGCGCTTGGCCACCGCTGAAGAGGAGATTCGCAAATTATCTGAAAAGGTGACGGAACTAAACTCAAAGGCAGAGGAAGCTTCACTGCACAGTTCCCAGTTGGAGAGAGAACGGACCGAAACACGCGATGCGGCAGCGGAAATCTTGCGTCTGAAAGAGAAAGTCGATGACCTGGAAGCTAAATTGACGGAAGCAACCAAAGAACGCGGAAATTTAGAGCAAGAAAAGGAGGCGCAAAAAGCTGCTTGGGAGGAGGAAAAGCAGAGCTTTCAGGCTCGAGTAACCGTTCTCGAAGATGAAATGAAGGAAAATAGTTTGTCACTCAAAAATTTGGAAGCAGAATATGCACAAAATTTAATTGCGGAGAAAGAGAAAACGGATTCCATGACTTCTCAGACGGAGAAGGAGGCGGCTGAGGCGGCTAAGAGGATCCAATCTCTAGAAGCCGAGTTGATTAAGGCACACAGCGAAGCTGCGACGGCCCGCCAGAGCTTAGAGGAGCAGCTCAAGACGAAACAAAAAGAAGTGACCGATACAAAAGCCAAGCTTCGGCGCACTGTGAGGACTAAGTACTCGTTTCGAACCTTGTCTTCTGACTTTGTCGCGTGGTTCAACAAAAAGTGGAAGCGTTTGTAAAAGTCAATACGAATGTACATTACCTGAACACACCTTGTCAGTCGTCATCGTTCATAGTGTAGGCTCATATTATGCAGGCTTCTCATCTGAGAGCCTCGTACGACATCGTTTCAAAAGATCTTATCCATAGTTGTGTCAAAGCTCGAAAGTATCAGAAAGGAGTAGATTTAGCTGTCAAGGAAGGTCCTTGCCACAGATTAAAGCGTAATTTGCCGGAAAACTGCAAAAAGATGAAAAAGGCTTTGTTTCATTCCAGGCTGTATTCGTTGAACAGAAATTATTAGCTTCTAGCTACTACTACAAAAGATACATTGAACGACGAAGGCAATGTGAGCATTTTCCCCAAACTATCTTTTCCGAGGGCCTAGCCACCTTATCGACATATTTTTCTCCCCTCAAACGCTGGATAACAACCAAAAACCTGTAAACCCTTTCGGTCCAAGGGCTGGCCCATATGCCCGCACCCCGAGCCCGCTGGATCGTCGTGTCTTTTGGCGAAGGAAGGGGATACTTTGGTACTTCGGGTCCTCCCTCCCTCCCGCACTTCGTCGCCCGGTTGAGGGAATACACAGCATATACGCAGGCTAATACATGGCCGCCGTTGAAATGAGTTCCCTTTCAACTTGATGACCGTGATGCTTGCACTTTCCTGAACAACCTTTCCTGCGTCGTCTCTTACATTCGTTACCAACTTTCTCACCGCATCACCCAGCTTGGTTTTCAAAGCAGGTGTGATATCACAGGCCACTGTCATGGTTCCTTGGAGAAGACATTGTGAGCTCATCTATCTGACTTCTGCCAAACGTCTGTGCTTCTTTGCCCTTTTCCTGCTTTTGACCTGGCCTCCCCTCGTTCATGCCGATGCAGCGGCTGCGGTTAACCATGGCAGCACGAGCGGGTTGGAGAACAAAAAGGAGGCTTATCGCAGCGATCCTGCCCACCTTATTGTGCCCACGGGCCACGACACGAAATACGACAAGGTGGACGAGCTGACGAACCTGCTCCAGCAAAAAGTCGGTGCGTACACGATTTTTCTCCCTCACCATCGTCTCCCCTCCCGATAGCCCCGCCCGCTGCCTTCCCTCCACGGGATGCTTTCCTAAATACCAGGCATGCTGTATCGATGCGGGGGCATAGAAGGTCTTGTACAGTTGCTGTTTGATGAGATGCTGTGCATGCAGCTTCTACCCTGAATTTCACGCTCTTGCCCTCGACTCATCTCGCTTTTTCATTCTATCTCTCCCGAATCACACGCCAGCGGCCCTCGTCAACGCGGAAAAAGCCATCACCTCCCTTGAAAATCAGCTCAACATCGCCTCCAAACAACTTGAAACGACAGCACAAAGCCTGTCCGCCTCTGACAGAGAGACCTCGAGGCTCACGCAAGAGGTCAAGGAGCTGACGCACAAGTTGGATGCAGCCGAAGCCTCCGCCGTGGCGGCGACTGCTCAAGCCACTGTCGCTGTCGACACTGCCACTGCGGCAGCCAAGAAGGAGACTGCGGCATGGATAGCCAGGGCGGAAAAGGCAGAGGCGGGCATGGACGTGGCGGTGACGGAGGCGACGCGGCTGAAGGCCGAGACGCAGGCCTTGCAAGCCAGCGTGGCCGCGGGCAAGGGCCTGGAGGGGCAGTGGTCTGAGGAGAAAGCGCGGATGGAGAAGGAGCTGGCGATCGTGCGGGAAGAGAAGGATCAGGCCGTGGCGGGTTTGGAACGGGCGGCGGCCGAGGCGAAAGCCCGGGTGGAGGAGGAAAAGGAAGGGACCGAAGCAGCGATGGGGAGGATGAGGGAAGAAGCCGCGGCAGCCGTAGCGGAAGAGAGGGAGAAGACAGCCGCAGCAGTCAGCAAGGCCCAAGAGGAGCTTTCCCGGGCGTTGCAGGTGGAAAGGGAGAAGCGGGAGGAGGCGGTCTCGGCAGCCATGGGGGAGGCTACAAGGGCCAAGACCAGGGTGCAGGCGCTGGAGCGAGAGGTGGCGGACGCGGATCGGCGGATAGCGAGCGCGCAAGAACAGCTCTCAGGGAAATTGGCGCAAAGGGAGAAGGAGACGGAGGCGCTTCGGGCCAAGCTGGAAGAGGTGCTGGCCACCAAGTACACCTGGCGGGTGCTGTCGGGGGATTTCTCGGCGTTCTGCGGGCGCATGGCGGCCCTTACACAGGCAAAGGCTCGGTGCGGGATAAGCTGGGCTGCACGAGAAGGCAAGAGGCGAGGAGAAGAGGCGGGGCGGATGCTGCAACCGCATGTGGAGGCCGCGCGGATGGCCCTAGGCTCTCAGTGCCGGGAGATGGAGAAGAGGATCCAGCCCCTGTGGACGGCCCACGTGCTACCCCCTTATCGGGAGCACGTAGAGCCCCGACTGGCTCAGGCGGCGGCATACCTGGGACCGGTGTGGGAAGGAGAGGTCCGGCCCCGGTTGCTGCAAGGCTGGGAGTGGGGAAAGCGGGGGCGGGGCGCGCGCGAGCATGGGGCCGGGCGCGAGTGGTTGGCGGTGAAACGGAGGGCAGTCATTTGGGTAAGGGGACAGGACTGGGCGGCCGGATTGGACGCGGAACGAGTGGTCACGAGCCTTGAATACGTGCTGGTCGCCACCCTCTTCTTCCTCCTTCGGCACCTGCTCTGGCGCCTTGTCATGACAGCCCTAGGCCTTGTGGTGGGGCTGATCACGCTGCCCTTCCGGATCCTCTTTTGGATTTTCTTCTGGCCGGTCTTGCTTTTTGGCGGGAAGAGAAAGGCGAAGATGGAGATAGAAGGGCCGCAGAGGGGGGGAGCGGGGAAGGCAGGAGGGGGTGGAGGGAAAGGGCGAGGGGCTCCGGGCGGCCCGCCGCCGACGCACCCGTTGGCACACGCGCAGCATGGCCGGTAAGCTTATGTAGGAGGCGGGGGGAGAGAGGAGAGGCGGCGCTGAAAGGGAGGATGGGCGGGGACTGGGTGGGCGGACCGGAATTGTTGACTGCAGGAGCGAAGGCGTGTCGCGGGTTGGGAAGGGTGAAGACAGAGGAAGACGCGTGGGAGGACTGAAAGCACGAGAGCAAGGAGGGAACGGTCTCGACGAGGGGAAATCAGTGCGGGATGGCAAGGGTCTGAGGGGCGTAAGGGTGAAATGGATGGGTCGGGGGAGTGAAGAAGAGCACTCGTCCACTCGTCCGCGGGACGGCGTGGTATGGAGAGGCCCTGAGTGTGTGGAAGAGGCGCCCGCGTGTGGGGACGGCACAGGAGGATGGAGGACGAGGAAACAGTCTCGAGGAGCGGTTGGGACGGCACAGGAGGATGGAGGACGAGGAAACAGTCTCGAGGAGCGGTTGGGGGGGGCGAGGCAAGGGGGGCCCACAGAGTGCTGCGCGAGCGGAAGGAACATGTAGGAAGCACACGGGTGGGGGATGGGGGGAGAGCAATGCCCCGAGGAGGGTGGGAGGGGAAGGGTCGCCCCCCCGGCTCGGAGCGAGGAGGACGATAGAGGCAGGAGGGAGGGGCGGCCCGAGGCTCCGGGAAGGCAGGAGTCCTCAGGGCACGGGCGGGTCCAAAGGGGAGAGGGCGCATTCAATCCCGCTCTGCCTAGGAAGGAGAGGGGGGGGCCGGCCGTGGGGGGGGCCGGCCTGGGAAAGACTGAGAGAAAAAGACCCGTCGACTGTCTCCAGCCTAGGGGAAAGTCGACGCAAAGAACAAAATCAGGACCTGACCTGGCAGCCACAGCGCTAACATTTCTTCATTCCGTATCAAGCATCTTCATCCCTTCCCTCCCCCTCCTTCCCCCTCCCCTC